AACTGATAGGACGATGTGTCTTGTCCAGAATTGTAGCTATGGTTTAGATTCTAGACCAAACGTTACGTACAAGATTAGCACAGCATGATACCTCATCTACTTATTTGTTTTCTGATTATCTATCCAAAGAGTATCATTGTTAGTGCATGAAAAGGTGTTTGATACTTGTTCCTGGTTGTTTCAAAATTTTATTTAATTATTTCACATCTGACAATTCATACCATGTAACTTTCAGGTTACACCTTCCCGGACCTCTACTGCTTTCAAATTAGCTCAATACAAGATGGAGTTATCTAGATCTGGTAGCACCAGTGGATTGCATGTATAAATTATATGATGCATTATCATTTTGAGGAAGACGTACAATATTGACATGATGTTGCAAGGCGGCATATTTTGTTTCCGATCAGCATGCTATTACGTGATATTATTGTCCTTTATGTTTTTTCTTCTGCTTAGATACTTCAACACTTACAACTTGATGATGTCGTCATTTTTGACTAATCGGACTAAAAGAGCTTGCTAATTTACATCGGAAAATAAGTTAAATTGCATGATGTAATTTTTGCTTAAGAGTTATGTTGATACAGCGAAAAAGAAGGGCAAAACAAGCACCGCTCTGCAATTAAATTTCTAAATAGTTGCGGACACTATTTACATGGTGTGCTACTAATGAAAATGCTAAAATTCATTTGTGTAGATGGGTTCACTAGCGAAGGGCATAAGTTTATCGGAATTCTTATTTTGATATGGTTCAATGAAACATCATCATTATTTGTTGAATAAAAAGAATTTGCATGTCAGCGGATCGGATTTTAATCTAAATAATTCCCCGAACAGTGATGTCATGCCATTATACCGTCCAAATTTTCTTGAATATTTTCTACCGTTTGTTCTTGGGGCACAACAACAATACACATTTTTTATTGACAAAGAATTAGCTCCATGAAAATTTCACTTTCAAATTTGGCGCCTCTGCTTATACATTGATAAAAATGACTATCATTTTATTGCCAAAATAGACGGGCGCGGCAACGCGCGCCACTATGGTCTAGTAGTTATAACATAGGGTGACACAGAACTAGCTCCAATTCATTAATATAATGTAGGCATGTGTTCCGAATATAGTCATACATGCTTATGGAAAATAACTTGCATGGCTTCTTTTGTCCTACCCTCCCGTGGCAGCGCGGTCCTAATGAAAACTAAGGGATATTAACGCCTCCTTTTAATAGAGTACCGAACCAAAGCATTAGCACTTAGTGAATACATGAACTCCTCAAACTACGGTCATCACTGGGAAGTGTCCCGACTATTGTCACTCCGGGATTGCCGGATCATAACACGTAGTAGGTGGCTATAACTTGCAAGATAGGGTCAAAAACACTCATATATTCATGAAAACATAATTGATTCAGATCTGAAATCATGTCACTCGGACCCTAGTGACAAGCATTAAGCATAACAAAGTCATAGCAATATCAATCTTAGAACATAATGAATACTAGGGATCAAACCCTAACAAAACTAACGCGACTACATGGTAAATCTCATCCAACCCATCACTGTCCAGCAAGCCTGCGATTGGATTACTCACGCACGGCGGTGAGCATCATGAAATTGATGATGGAGTATGGTTGATGATGACGATGCCGACGGATTCGCCTCTCCGGAACCCCGAACGGACTCCAGACCAGCCCTCCCAAGAAACTTGGCGGTGGCTCCGTATCGTAAAACGCGATGAATCCTTCTCTCTTATTTTTTTTTCTCCCCGAACGTGAATATATGGAATTGGAGTTGAGGCCGGTGGAGGTCCAGGAGGGCCCACGAGACAGGGGGCGCCCCCCCACCCTCGTGGCCAGGGTGTGGGCCCCCTTCAGCTGATTCTTCGGCCAATATTTTTATTAATTTCAGAAAGTATCTCTGTGAAGTTTCAGGTTATTCCGAAAACTTTTATTTCTGCATAAAATAACACCATGGCAATTCTACTGAAAACAACGTCTGTCCGGGTTAGTTCCATCCAAATCATGCAAATTAGAGTCCAAAACAAGGGCAAAAGAGTTTGAAAAGTAGATACGTTGGAGACGTATCACATGTCAATGTTTGTTAGGTCGCAGTCTTAAACTGCAAGAGCTTTTGCACCTGTCATGGAGTCTATTGCATTTACAAATTGTTTTGAATCATGGTAGCGCACAGACATCTAATTAGTAATTTTATATATTGCATAAGAAAACACAAAATTGCCGCTGAAATGTCGTGCAATCAGAGTAATGGATCATTCGACAAGATGAATGTCGGGAATTCATCAGTGTCACTGGTTTTGCTTTGCATTTATATATTTCGATTTGTTTGTCTTGTCTTATATTCACTCATTAGTATTGGGCGCTCCTCAAGCACATCATCGCACGATCGCATCTACGCAACACACACACACCGTATGTTCGGTGCATCAGAGCATCTATAGCCGGACTCCCCAAATCTCCTCCCCCTACATGCCCGGATGGACGGTTTAACTGGTAAAAAAAACATCGACCTTAGACGAATGCCTCATACCGGCCGCAAATGTCTGGGCTAACCGACACGCATCATCTGTTGGAAGCAGCCTCCTATGCTGAACTTTTTTTTTGACGGGCCTACGTGTTGAACTTATCGTGACAGCCCCGTTGGAATTCATGCGGGCCTCCACGCGAGCCCCTCCGCGGATCGTATAAGGGTCGGGTTTGCTCAAATGCATCAACTGTTGAAAGCAGGCCTCCGTGCTGAACAATTTTTTTCTTTTGATGGGCCTGCGTGTTGAACTTATCGTGACAGCCCCGTTGGAATTGATGCGGGCCTCCACGCGAGCCCCTCCCCCCACCTTAGGGCATGTCCAATGCGGACGCTTAGCATGGGCGCCAGGGTAATATTCCCGACCAATTAACGGTTAATTTACATAATCCCAACGTTTGACGAGGCGTCGATGCAAAACTCTGCGTCGGGCGCTAGAGCCTTTTCCTTCCCGCAGCAAGCGCCTATATCCTTTAAATTAGCCTGTGTATTAGCATCGGCCGTTGTAAGGCTGGGCGCTTAGTCGCCAATTTATTTATTTAATATGTTTTTTCTTCTCTGTTAGCGCCCATACAAGCGTCGACCATTGGAGATGGATCCGGCTTGCCTGCTCCCTTTCCATGCTCCCATCCGTACTCCCACCTCATTCAACTGCTGTTTTTTTTTCTTTTTTCTTTCTAATCTAATCATCTCCCCCCCTGATTTTAAGGGAGTGGGGTCGGGTTTTATTTGATTCCAATCAAATCAAGTCACATATATGGGAGCACGGATGGGCACACGGGAGGGGAAAAGGCAAGTCTCGTCCATTGGAGATGCCCTTACCGAATTTACATCCGCACACTGACACCGGGCCCAATCACTCTGGCCCGTCATTGCCACGGAAGCAAACCGGGCCGGGATCGAGTGCGAAATCGCGGAGCGTGTTTGGAAAGAAAACTAGCCGTTAGGCTCCTCGGCCCCCAACGCTCTCCTTTTCCTTCTCCGCCCGTTCCCCGTTCCCTTCCACCCCCGATCTCCCATCCCCCCACCCTATCGAAACCATTCCCAAGCAAA